GCAAGTCGACCCATCCGGGATTCGAACCGAGACCTTTGGATTCGTAGACGCATTAGCCGGTTGCGCCACACTGGCATCACAATTTACTGTGTACTACGCCCGTATCAGAATTCGCAGTAATTTGTTTGCAATCAAATAGCTTTTATTTGCTATACTTTTGAGGTCAACTAGATAAAAATTTAAATAAAATTGAACGTTTGAAAAAAAAACATAAAACCCAAAATAAAAAAAAATTGATAACTTTGTCTGGGATTTGAGCTCGGGTTCTTAATAGCTTACCCAATGTTTGATGTTCCAAGACTCTTACGCCCTAGGCCAATCATTTTAAGAACGAAATGTTCTTGTTTTAAATTAATAGTTCTTGTTTTTTTGTTAAATTAATAGTTTTTAATAGAGTTTACTGTTTTTAATAATTCTGATATTATTTACAAACACTATAAGCAGGGATAAAGCGAAAAATATCGTTTTCTCTATGTATTAAAAAAACATTTTAAAATACTATTATCAAGTATGACCCGTACTTTTTCTGTACACGTTCGTTCTTAAAATTTTAAGAATTATTCGGGCGATTTTCAAGAACGTTCGTGCTAAAATTATTCGTTCTACTTTTTTCTGGGTGTATGGCAGCTATACGATTGTTCCTATGGGAGCTATATGCTATAGTCGTATGATTTTGATGAAATTGAAATCGTAATTCTGAAATATTTATTCTGAAATATTTATATCTCGAAGAACTAAAAAAAAAATTAAAAAACTCCAAAGTTATAATTTTTTTAAATTTATTTTTATGATGTTTCCTATGGCACCTATTTTCTATAGTCGTCCGATTTTGATAAAATTTAAACCTTAATTCTGAAATATTTAACCATTACTATATCTCGAAGAACTAAAAAAAAAATTAAAAAACAGCAAAGTTATAATTTTTTCTCATTTATTATTACGATTGTTCCTATGGGAATTCCTATGGAATTAAAAAACTCCAAAGTTATAATTTTTTTTAATTTTGTTTTATGATTGCTCCTATGGCAGCTATTTGCTATAGTCGTCCGATTTTGATGAAATTTAAACCGCAATTCAGAAATGTTTAACCATTACTAAATCTCGAAGAACTAACAAAAAAATTAAAAAACACCAAAGCTATAATTTTTTTAAATTTATTTTTCCGATTGTTCCTATGGGAGCTATATGCTATAGGCGTCCGATCCGTCTCATTCCGACTTATATACTACCTGCAATAGAAAGACAACTTTTGGGAAAGTTTCATGCAGATAGCTTTAAAACCGGGAGACTAGTTTGCGTAGAAACGGACGGACAGACGGACATGGCTAGATCGACTCCCCTAGTGATGCTGATCAAGAATATATATACTTTATAGGGTCGGAAACGTCTCCTTCACTGCGTTGCAATCTTCTGACTGAAATTATAACACTCTCTGCGAGGGAATAAAAAGGTAGAAGGAAGGTATGAAAGAGATGAGTTATTGAGCTTTATAAACATCGATAAAAAAAAAAAAATGTTTAAGGAGGTATTCTGGCTTACAAGCCCGAATTTTGGGCATTTTTTCAAGTTAGATCAAAATAATAAAAAAAACATTTTAGAAATATATAGGGAAGAATTTTAATGATGAGAAAAAATGTCGTCATCCGAGGAATAAGCGCCCATATGAAACAGTGAAGGACGTTTTAGCTACGAAACTTATTTTCAAGAACTTTGTAGCATACGTTAATGTTCATGATATCTTTGAAATACGGGAGAACTAGTGCCTATTTTCCAGATCATCATTTACACTGGGTGATTACAGAGCGGCCTCAATCAATGCTGTAAATTCGAAAAAATGCAAAACGGAATGGTCATTAAAATCGCCACTTATGAGAAGAACTGTTTTCTCGTCCCGCGTTACTTAAACTGTAACAAAGGGCAAAAAGATTATGAGGATCTGTACAGCATGCTGCAGCAGAGTGAAGAGGAAAACGTTATGGCAATTGGTGATTTTACGGAAGAATTGGCGACCAACAGATAATCACCGAGGGACTTAAGACAGTACGCGAATGGTTAAAAAACTTTAAAATTTTCTTAGACTTGTTTCTTAAGGGGGATGCGGTTACAACCATTGACTATTGTATGATACAAGACTTAGAGGTAGAATTCCAAGATTTCTGTGATCACTTACCTCTAGTGATAAGACGCAACATATACGCGACACTCAACACCATCGCACTAAACAATAAAACATTACCCCAACTAAAATGCAACCCAAGACGTGTGGATTAATATAGGAGAGAACTAGACTCCGAGCTTGCAAAGGAGGAGAAAATGTAACGAACCCAAATCCGAGGGAAATAAATTATCTAGCTGGGTGTGTATTTAGAGCGGAAAACTGTCTAAGTCGAGCAGGATATGTATCGAGCCACAAACAAACATGGTTTTATGCTTTTTGCGAGAAAGCTCAGAAAGCATCCTTGAATTCCCTTAAAGTGATCAAAACGGAAAATAGCACAGAAGCTAGAACAGCGTACATGCAAGCCAATAAGGATTATAAAAATCTATGTAAGGACAAGCAAACGCAATACTTCAGAAATTTACAAGTCACTATTTGTGAGCCTTGCGAGGAGAATAAACGCATTCTCGTGAAGAAGTTCATCTTCTGGAAATGACAGCCTACTTCGAAAGACTGATATGTGGAAATCAAACGTGCCATTTATCATTTGCTCTACCACGGTGTACAAACAAAATATTTGCACCAGTACTTTTGAAGCGACTTACTATTTCGGTCAATAAAACCATTCACTAAACGAGGTTCAGGCAGGATTCCGCAAAGGCTATAGCTTTTTTCCTTTAACAAGCATTGCCAGATCGTGTCTTGAAAGTAAAAGGAAACTCTTTTGTTTTTTGTCAACTTCCGAGCAGCCTTTGATACAATAAACAGAAGGGCGTTGATCTATAAACTCAGCAACTATAATATGTCATCCAAAATGATTGAAAAAACTAAAAGTATGTATAAGGAGAGTAAGACTACTGCTTGGTGCGAAAGCAAGTACTTAGATTGGTTCAAAACTAACATGGGAGACCAAAAAGAATGTATTTTGAGCCCACTTCCATTTTCCTTATACATATATGATATGCATTATTTGAGTGGTGGCACAGTTGGTAAGCCGTTAACTACAAAATCAAAATGCATGCCGACGACATGGTACATGGAGGAATTGCAGAAAATGAAAAATCAGTCTACCGACTTCTGCGCACAATAGGGATTGGAAATCAACCACGACAAGTCAAAAATCATGGTAATACGCGATGGTAGGGGCAAAATTAAGAATGCAAAAGTGTTTTATTAAGGGGCTTAACATTATTTATTGATTTATTTCGCCAACGGTATTCATTCTTTAACTGGCTACTTAGATATTTAACATTATTCTTACGCACTAACATTGAAAAAAGTAATCGATCAATTTATGTTTAAGATCAGACTTGCTAGAAAAATAATTAAGTCGCATGTTAGTTGGAAGTTTATTGCACCGACACAAGGCTCTATAAAGTGGCTCGTTTTGGGAGTAGTTAGTCCTGCGTAACTCAACAATAAAGGGAGCAAAATCTCGGAGGTGCCTACCAGGAGCATTAAAGCCTACTTTTGAAAGAAGTTCTGGACAGTCAATGATTCCGGCCACCAGGTCGGCGATGAAACAGATGGAGATGATTGTTCTGCGATTGGCAAGTGTGAACGAGGAGACACTGCTGCTGATAAGGGGGGAAGGAAGGGTTCAGAAATTCTTAAGGGTAAGAGAGCGAATTTTAGAAAGTTTTTCTGTTGCCTTTCTATTCTATTTATGTGGATATTGGATGAGGGATTGCAGATAAAAGCCGCGTACTCTATTTTAGAGCGCACAAATGTTGAATAGAGCGCAAGCCTCGTATAGGGATCCATGAAAAACGCTGAGTTCCGCTTTGCAAACCCAAACATGGCATACGCTTTAGGCATGATATAATCAAAGTGTGCTGAGAAATTAAATTTGGAATCAAACAATACACCCAGATCTAAGCATTCTTGTTGAACATTTAAGGGCTGCTCTGCAATACTGTATGTGATTATAAGGTTGTATACGCATTTACTGTAGCTAACATAAAAGCATTTATTAATGTTTAGCGGAAGTAAATTTCAGCGGCACAATGAACTTAACCAGGGTAACCCACGAAAAAATAGGCAATTTTTGATTTTTTTTTAAGAAAGTACCTAATAGAATGTTTTGAAATTTTTTTAATTTTCAACTTTAATTTAAGGTTTTTATTTAACAAAAACATTAAGAATTAACGGGACTATGGGCTGTCTGCCAATGCTCCAAAAAAATAGTACTCCAACTGCTGGAATGATTCAAAAAGATTATAAAAGCTAAATATACTTCCCCTGCAATGACCTTCGATCTTTAAAAAGTATCAAATATTAACGAAATGGCCTCGGTTTGAATCGTTTTTTTAGGCTAAACAAGAAAGGAATCAAATCGGCAAGCCGAAATTCATATACCCTTGCAGCTATTGCAAAAATGCAATATCCTTGAAAACATTTAAATTTTGTAGCTATGATGATTTCCAGCTCAATTCTTCGATCGTTTCTATGGATATTGTTTTCCGTAATTCTAAAATATCAAATTATTACTATACCCTTGCAGCTATTAAATATTCTTTATTTTTCTGATTGTTCCTAAACCGTAATTCTGAAATATTCAACCACTACTACATGTCAAAGGACTAAAAAATAAAATTCAAAAACATCAAAGTTATAATTTTGTTTTATTTATTTTTTCGATTCTTCCTATGGGAGCTATATGCTATAGTCGTCTGATTTTGATGAAATTTAAATCGTATTTTTGAAATATTTAACCATTACTATATCTCGAAGAAAACAAAAAAATTAAAAAACACCAGGGTTATAATTTTTTTTAATTTTTTTTTCCGATTGTTCCTATGGGAGCTATATGCTATAGTTGTCCGATCCGGCTCATTCCGACTTATATACTATACTTATACTACTTATATACTATTTTTTTTTATTTTAAAATTTCCTTAATGTAACATTTAAACTGGGTTGCGCAAGTTAAAAAATTGTCTATTTGGAAAAAGCGATTTAGATCTTGGGCATATAAAATTTTCAGTCCTTTTGGTAATTCCCTTTCGTAATTTTCCATTATTCAGGGAATGTTGAAAATGTAATTGCAGAGTTAAATGTATGTGTTATAAGTGGTAATATCTGAAGCATTAGAATTTGTACAAATTTTGGATTGATATCTCTTGGTATTAACAGCTTCGTCGAATTTTAACCTGAAATGTATTTACTTAGCGTGTGTTATTGACGTATGAACTTTCGTACTATCCGTTTTCTCCGAGTCAATAAAGATCATAGCAGCAGTATGACAGTCAGAATCAAAAATTTCCTTATACTTAGCACTGAGGCAATTAATTGCAGTATTAATTCATCATTCCAATAATATAATGGCTCAAAGTTGGATGAAAAACACTTTCCGAATAAACTAGTCACCCCCAAGTCAGAGGAGGCTGATTTTTTTCCAGGCAAACTATAGGAAGGAATATGCGATATTGTTCTTTTAGAATTTACAAAATGCCAAAATAATTTAGGGTTAGTAATCAGTTTTCTTTCCACAACTGCAATGTATTGACTGTATAAAAATTTATTTAAGAATTTGAATTCGCGCTTATGTTGCTTGTACCGATCAAAATTTTCAGAATCCCCGCTTTCAGCATAACGTTTATAAAACTTGTTTCTAAGATTTTTGTATTTCTTTAGTCCGGGCGTGTATCAGGGAAGTCTACAAGAACAAGAAGCTCTATTTTAAGCATACTTTTTGATAATAGTAGAGAGAGAAGTCAAAAAATGTTCATAGCATATATCCACACTTGCATGCGAAAGGATCTCATTTCAGTTAAAATTAGAAATATCATTCCGAATTGAAATAAAGTTACATATTGGAAAAATATGACAGGTCAACTTAATTAAAAGTGGTTGATGCTGACCATCTCACTCAGATATTGGGTTATTAAAACAATTAAATTAACGTTAAGTCGGGGTTAATAAAAATTAGGTCTAAAAGTTTGTTTAAACTATTAAATACATTAACCTGGACTCATCCAATGCTTAGAAGATCATCAATAAATATAATTTCAGGATGCAGATGTAAATTGCTGGGAACCATCGCCGAGGCATCTGCATCATGAGCCCACAAAAGCGATGAAAGGTTGAAGACGTCCAGAGTGCAGATGTACTGATTATCATCTAGATCCTTATATTGTCCACATGAGCCTTGTATAGCTCGAAGTTTCTGCGCTTGGATACCACCAGGAATATCGACTCCAGGACCAGAGAGAGTTACGCAAATTTGATCAAGGAGAGAGTCCTCATTTAGGAGACGAATAGAAGCGCAACGCAGATTACGCCGCACAGCTATGAGAGCGCTGCCACCTCTAAAAGAGCATTGTGTTTGAACAGCATCCCGGTCTTTGTGAAATACTTGGTAGATTAGGATCGAAAAATTCTTTGCCAAATTGAGCCATGTTTCAACTAATTTAATGACATCATATTCACACTGAGTGGTTTCCATGAAAATAGACTGCGATTTAGTACGCATACCAGTAATATTTTGACAATAGATGCTAAACAATGCATTGTTTACGCAAGTTTGGTCATCAAAGAGCGTGATATCCATGTTCGGCCAGGCAGCATAAATAGACAAAAAACGCTTTGTTGGTGTCGTCATCAGGTCATCAATATTATTATGCGGATACGTACAGGGTGTTGATCAATGCTCAAAGTATCTGAAGAAAATGAAGAGTTCTCACAATGAATGAAGCTGTTGAGTAAGAAGAGAGCGCTGCTTCTAAGAGAATCCTACACGCAGTTGTATCCGATCCATTTGGTGATAAGACTGACGACATCAGCTGTTGATGTCTAAACGGCTCTTCACAAGCAGAAGGTGAGAGCATCTTCAAGCGGAACCCTGAGAGAGGGTGCCGTTTCCATACCAATATTGTGAGAAAGCCGAAAATTAAGCGAATGCGCCAAGAAAACTATTGTAGGATGTCCAACGGTGAAATCGAAATCTCAAGCCGATGCTGCTGTTGCTGCATCAGGAGAGCGGCGAGACAAGATGAGAGCGCGCCGATATTGAAGCCAAGCACATAGCGGGCACGCACTGCTTAAGCTGATTATGTTGTTGATATGAAAGAGAGACGGAACATGATGAAAGTGCAAATCCGAAGAGCGCACTAAGCTCGGTGAACAGCTGGTCAGGGACACCAAGCTTAAAATTAACGAATTTTAAAGAAGTGATATGCAAAGAAAATCAGAGCTGGTTTTACAGTGCTTCAAGCTTTTCTCCCTCCCTGTACGGCACGCCATGCATACGGAGTTCGTTTTGTGCGACATGTTTTGCCTCTACGCTACCCACTCTCTCCTTCGTTGCGCGCATGTCCGCAATCTCCCGGCGTAAGTTATTAACCCGCTCAGACAGCTGTTGCGCGCGTCGATTCCGTCCAAGCGCTCCGTGAGACTGCTGAGGATGCGCGTCTCCGTCTTTATATTGTAAAGCTTACTATACATAAGTCCACCTGGTTTTTATACCCTTGCAGAGAGTATTAGAAGTCAGAAATTTACAAGGAAGTGATTTCCGACTCTATAAAGTATTGTAATGGAAGAGAGCTTTCGATATTCCGACAAAATGGCAACGTTGTAAAGTACGCGATAGTTACGAGAGTTTGCAGCCCGGCTGTAAGATCACTTTTCTCTCTCTTAATTACGACTGCGTGCTGACCCTAAGCAATAAAGGCATAAAGAAAATAAACGCTGGTGTTTCCTTCTTGGAGTTGAGGCGGGAAGATTGGAAGTAGTGAGGGCCACCACACCTAAAAAAAAACCAGGTTGGGCGACCGCCCGGGAAACAGCAGAGCACCTCCCACGCGCCACCACGAACGCTCGCAAGGTGCGATTGGCTCTCCGTTAGCTCTCCACGCGATGCGGGACCAACCAACGCGAATCCGGTTATAGTCCGACATGGGCCGACCGAAAAAAATGCATTAAGCTTTATACGAGTCTGCGTGGAAGTGCACAGCGTCTCCATTCTGCCAGGAGCGTATGGTTCCCTAGCTGCCGCCATGCGATAGTATTTCACGATCAGTATTCATACCGGCTATCAGTTGTTTCATAATCGCATGCAAGTGCCGCGAAAATCCGTCGGGGACTTTCCCATGGGGTAGGAACGCTTGGGCAGGGCCGTGTTCGGTCAGAAATTAGCACATCCGTCTAATGATTAAAATATTAATCAAAATTGTAACATTAGTATTAGTATATATATTTATTATTTTTTCTGTTACATTTCCTTTATTTTGTTCAATTAACTATTATTCTTATATATCATCTTCACCTAAATCTAATGAATAAAAAATATTAATTTCAATTCAATAAACTGAAAATGATAACAAATTTAATCTCTGTATTTGACTTCAGCTATTTTTAGTTTATAGTTAAATTGATTAAGAACATACTTAGGACTTTTAATAATTTCATCAATAGCCGACTGCGACCCACAACAGCATAATGGTGCAGCGTTTTATTGACGGAGTCTGAGAGACGGGATATCAATTATCACACTAGATAGGGCTATCCGGGTTAAAGCCCAATGCCGACGACGTCCAGCGAGCACTGTAATGAACGTCAGCACTGTAGCTACGGATAAGCCAGATAACACAGTTGAATTCAGGACTGGAGAGGATGTCTGGCTCTACTATCCGCTCGGCTTTCCGTAGCCATAGACGCACCGCGCGGTGCGGGTTGCGTAATTTCGGCTTATCTCAGTGAGTTCCTTCCAGAAGTCACTTCTCCGGCTCCCGACCCGAAAACAACACGGAATAAACGGCAGGTCGAAACTAACGATGGCCTATATCAGCAGTGCGCAATCGGTCATCCCGTAGCGCAAGCATGAGGAATCAAGCTGTGTAACAATCGGCCCTTCCGCAGCGTCAGTGCCACACATGAAGCAGTGCAGCATTCGGATACCCATAAGTACAAGATTCGGCCCTTCCGTAGCGCCAATCCCGCACACGAAGCAGTGCAAAACGCAGCAAGCAGTGATATACTCGGCCCGTCCGAAGCGTCGACAAGCAGTCCTACATTCGGCCCTTCAGCAGCGTCGACGTCAACCCAGCAAGCAGTACCACACTCGACCCTCCCACAGTGCCGATATAATTATAATTAGAAACCTAACTGGAAGCCTACCTAATAGAATTCGCGGTCGAGCCAGAAACACTGTGCGAGGACATACGAAGACAAATGGCAGATTTAGAAAACGCCTATTAGAACTATCTCAGAAACACGCAAGAAGCCCATCACCAGCACCTAACGGAACAGGAAATCAACCGAGAGGCATTAGTTGGGCAACCGACACAGAGGAACACATCGAGAAAGACCATAAATACGTGCAAGTGCCGAACCCAACGGAGATTGTCGAAGAAAAACCAGTACCCAAGCCCACAAGGACAGAAGGAAATAAAGTGGCCACAATAGGCCTCTAGAACAAAGGAATTGGCAGAGGCATACAGTGTAGATCTCGATCATACAGCAGAAGCAATGGTAATACTTCTCAGAGGCTGTGCCTTGGACTGGTGGACCCACCCAAACCCGATGACGTCATGGAGCACCTTTCGAAAAGAATTCCTAGAGTATTACAGGCCAACGGATCATTAGGAGAAAACTGTGGAAAGCATTACACATAGGCACCAGGGCGAGAACGAGCCGGCGAAGGAATATGCGCTATAACTCCGGTAAATCATGCGATTCACTGCGCTCACAGAAGAAAAAAAGCTGGAGTGGGTACCAGCTCGACGAATCAAGCAATTCAACACTCGGCCCTTCCGCAGCACCAGTGCCACGGCCCAAGCAGTGCAACATTCGGATATTCAGCAATACAAGATTTGGCCCTTCCGTAGCGCCAATCCCGCACACGAAGCAGTGCAATACTCAGCGTCGGTATCACTCTGCATTCAGTCCTACACTCGGCCCTTCAGCAGCGTCGACCTCAACCCAGCAAGCAGTACCACGCTCGGCCCTCCCATTGCGCCGATATAATTATAATTGGAAACGTAGCCGTAACTAACCGTACTACTAAATATAACCATACTCTGTAGCGTTCGATTTGTGTTATTCTTTGGGGAAAGGGAAGTAAATCGATCTAAGGAGGAAATAAATTTCTGTCTCAAACCCTGGCCACGGCGAGTCAGGGTCGTTACACAGTTTATGTGTTCTTGATCAGCATCACTAAGAGAGTCGATTTAGCCATGTCCAGGAAGCTTATATACCCTTGCAGCAATTGAAAAAATTAAATATCCTTTTAAACATCTAAATTTTGAACTATTTGTGTGCGTACATATTTAAAAATATTAAACATCGATCGTTCCTATGACAGCCATATGATATCGATATCTGATTTGACTAAAATTAAAACGTAATTCTGAGTTATTAAATAATAATAATGGCCAGAAGAATTTAAAAAAAATTGAGAAAATAAATTTTTTTTTTTTTTTAATATTCCGATTGTTCCAACGGGAGCTATATGATAAAGTCGTCCGATTTTGATCAAAAACAAACCGTAATTCTAAAACAGTATACTAGTTCTATATATCGAAGAACTAACAAAATAAATAAAAAAAGAGCAAAGTTATAATTTTTTTCATTTTTTTTCGATTGTTCCTATGGGAGATATATGACATTGTCGTCCGATCCGGCTCGTTCTGATTTATATACTTTCTGTAATAGAAATACAACTTTTGGGAAAATTTCAAACATATTTGTTTTTTAAGATATGGTGATGTTTTTTTATTTTAGAATTCGTATTTAGTTTTATAAAAATCGGACAACTATATCATACAGGAACAAGATTGTTCGATATACACTAATGGTTTACTATTACTATACTATAGCGAAAAAGAGTTGGTTAAAAGAATATTTAATTTTACGGGGCTTGCTTCTTTTTTTAATATCCTATTTAAGAAGAACATTTTAATTTAATTGTCTAAATATTTAAAACCATTATGACTATTGAATACAATATATGTCTGTACTTAGGATAAAATTTTTTTATCGGGGATTAGTCATCGGCCAGCTCTTGTTATTGTGATCGGTTGTTTTTTCACTATGTCTCTTTGCACCGAATGCAATTCCGAGTTTACTGCTACGCAGCTACGTAGCTTCGAGGCGGTCCGTTCTGGTATCCACCGCTGCAGCAGCTGCCCCAAAGGGAATCACAAAAATAAGCACTGAAACAGGTTGTGAACAATTCGAAGTTCTACCAAGTAACAATTTTCAGCATATTGGTAAATTTGCAGTTAGCACCAAACCAGAGGCGTTGTGCGAATTTGTTGCTAATAAGTTGTGCGAAAGAACTGACTTTTTGCGATGAATTTTGGCCAGAAGCAGTAAAAGGCAGCAGATTCAGCAAACCCGAGGAATCTGCAATCCTCTTCCTCATCTACTAAGTTTATGCAACAACAAGTTTTTAATTCTTTGCGCTCTATTCACCGACAAATATCCACAACATCAGCTGGAGCTCTCTTTGTTCGTTTTCTTCGACCCTCGCCAAACATCGGATTCCATTCCTATTACGGATTGCGTGCTCTTCCGAGCACGACGCGGTCTATTATTTCCATACGCACACGACAGCTCTACAAAATTCTCGGCTTGAGCTTTCAACGTCCGCTTTGAGCGAGGTTCTACTAAGTCATAGTTTTAATGTCAATGCTCTTTGTCCCCTCTCCGGAGTCGAGCTCTCTGCAATGATGCTTCAACTACAACCCTATCTGGAATTTTACCGCTCGCATCTTATAGCTGGTCTGGATTTGATGAGACACTGAAAGTGCGTTTAAGATCAGCTGATGGATGAACAACAACATCGCCCGCTTTTATCGCTACGTTCCCTTAAAGTTGCTCTCTTGGAAGTGGCCGCTTTCAGTTTTGAGCCATCGCTCTTAAATTCTGGCTTGTCTTTTTTCGAGATATCTAATAATATTTTGCGAATGCAGCGCACTTAATTCTGAAGATAAGCAATGGATTACAGATACGTCGTTACTAAGGGAGATCAGCGGAATTAAAACATTAGGATCCGCATGCACTGGAATGCATTAGCATCAACACGAATCAGCTGGTGGCGACCCCGAGAATTTACAATCACTCCATTTTAAGCACATCCCTAACTTAAAATCTATTTCCAATATATCTCTGGAATGCGGACAAAGGCGGAACAAGTATATCTTGCTACATCCCAAGCCAACTTTGATGTCGAAGTTCTGGTTGAAACCTGGCTCAAAATGAACTTTTACACTAACGAGTACTTCGATTTCAACTTGTATAAAGTCTATCTCAAGGACAGAGATGATACAAAAACGCAATGCGGTAGATGAGAAGGCGTAATTATGGCTGTTCGTCGCAGCTTGAGATGTTTGTCTATTGGTCTTCTCAATGAAGACACTTTTCTGGATCAAGTGGCTGTTTCTGTTATTGGACCAGTGGATACGCTACTAATAGTGGCGTCTTATATACCGCCGAAGGGTACCTATTCTTTTTACAAGGCCCATCTGGAGAACGTGACCAATATATATGATAATATATACCGCTGAAGGGTACCTATTCTTTTTACAAGGCCCATCTGGAGAACGTGACCAATATCTATATTTACTGGACCAACAGCATCTCTGCGTTATTGATGACTTTAACCTGTCATCCCTTGCTTGGGCGAGAAACCCTGACGCTCATTCCTTACTGCCAAGTAACATGCATCAGCCACATTAGGTTATTTTCATCGACGATCTATTCAGACGATCCTAATACAAGTTAATAATATATTTAATGATTTATATAAGCTCTAAGATTTAGTATTTCTTAGTCCCGATATTAATTTTTTCTTAGCTGAATGTAATTTACGTATCAGCAACTGCGATGTTCATCATATGCCATTGCTACTATCATTAAACTTTTATAGTTTTGCGCCTTCAGCGGATAATTTTTCCAAGATTATTTTCACTGAAAGCTTCCTTCGTTTTATCAGAAGCGATATTTCCTCTGTTGATTGGCAATCATTTCTTTCGCATGTTAGTTTACAGTTGTGTTATGAACACTTTTTAGAAGTTCTTTTAAGCAAAATTAAAAATAATGCACAAGGGTGCAACATTTTTTCAAGCTGCCTTGGTATACCGAAGGCTTAAAAAAGTTGAAAAATCTTCGCAATAAGTTTTATAAAAAATTCTTCTTGATTCGAAAGATTGGAATAGGCACTTGCAACACAAACGAGAATTTGAGTTTTTAATTAAATTTATTTACCATCAGTACATAGCGGAGGTCGAGAGCGGGCTGAAACTCAACCCCAAATCATTTGGAGGTTTGTCAGATCCAAAAAAAACGTTTCTTCAGTTCCCTCTATGTACCTTGAAAATTTAACTTCTCATTCTGATATAGAAACTTCAAATCTGTTTGCTTCTTTTTTTAAAGCTTATTTTGAACTTGCAGAAGATTGGCATGATTCTCAAACCCTTGATTCAATTACAAGATTGGTAACCATAGGTTCTTTGACTGTTGAAGACGAAAATATTCACTCGGCTATTCAAGACTTTGACGATTCATACAACCCTGATTGCGATGAGATTCCTGCTTATGTTCTTAAATGTTGCATTGAAGAGCTATGTTAACCTTTGAAATTTATTTTTAATTTATCACTTTTGCGTGGACGATTTGCCGATAGATGGAAGGTTGCATACGTGACTCCAATGGTACCGCAACCAAAACAAGCTTCGGGTATAGATTAGAGCGAATAATTTGTCTCTTTTACTGCGTTGCAAACTTCTGACTGAAATTAAAGTACCCTTGCAAGGGTATACAAATCTATAATATTAACTCATAAACAATTTTTTGCACACAGTACACTAACTTAAATTTTTGAATTTGTCCAAAGAAAATTTTCGTTTGGAATTTGTTTCTGGTTACGTAATAATATTTGTATAAATAAACATATTTTTTTTAATTTTTTTATGGTACTATGATATGAATTGTAAAAAAATCCACTAATAGTAGAGCCTTTACATTTAAATACGGTTTATGCATTTTTAAAGAACACATTTTTACAGAACCTGTACAAATGTTTCGATATCGGCAACGGTTATTCTGGTTGCTATATATTCTGGTTACGGTTCCGGTTAGACAAAAACATATTATATCGGTTTCGGTTGCTATTTTGATTCGGTATTACCGGTTAAGAATAACGGTTACGAAACCGGTTGGATACCCTTTTTTATATATATACACATAATTAAAATTAAATTAGTAAGAATAATTAACCTCAATATTCTTTAGGATACATAACACGTTGTTGAGGAAATTTTTTTAACGAACACTTACAAATTATTGTGAATCCGCGACTTCTTCATATCTTGAGCCCTGTACTCAGATTGACAAAATCCGTTCGTGAGCTATAAGAGAGAGCGAGAGACAAATAACCGGCGTACACTTTTCGTCAGTGCCATTTCTAGCCCGCTGTACTCAGAAAAAATACCAAAAAATTGCAAAAGCCTTGCCAGATTTCCCTGGGTAATCGTACGACAGGCAAAAAGAATACAAATTTTCATCTTTTAAAATTGGAGTTGGCAGAGCATAGTATTGTCGGATCAAAAAATTGAGGGAAAAACCCAAAAACTCAGGATTTTTGACTACATTATTAAAATATTGCGCTCCATTTTATGCCACTTTTTTTGAATGCGTCCCAAAACATAGCTGAAAACTTTACATTAAATTTACATCGCTTCGAGCCGGATCGGACGACTATAGCATATAGCTCCCATTGGGTCGAAAAAAAAATAAAATAAAGTTTGCTGTTTTGAATTCTTTGTTTTTAGTTCTTCGACATATAGTAATGGTTAAATATTTCTGAATTACGGTTTAATTTCATCAAATTCGTACGACTATAAATATTTAAAAAAATAATAATAATAATAATAAAATAATAACGTAACTTTTTATTTTGTAACTTTTTTTAAAATTCTTTTTGACTTGTTAATAATTTGACAGTTCAGAACTACGCTTTTAATTTTATTAAAATCGGAAAACGATATCATATAGCTGTCATATCGAATATTTGAGCTGCAAACTATCAAAGCTTCAATGTTTTTAAACATATACGCAAGTAAATCAAACTTTTAATGTTTTCAAGAATATTTAATTTTTGCAATAGCTGCAAGGGTATATGAACTTCGGCTTGCCGAAATTTGGTATCTTTCTTGTTTTTATTTTGTTTTTGCTTAATTTTCTAGGGACAGTGCTTAAAATATTTGTGATTTTAAGATCTCTGATCATCATTTGTTGCGAGCAGACGCGTTTTCTATTTCGTTACGAATCCTTTTAGGTTCTCTGAGTGCAATGTTGCCGTTACGCCTGCGCAACTTCGCGGTTTTGAGGCTGTTCGATATGTTCAACGCTTTTTCATCGCACTTTCTAAAGAGGCCATAAATTGCTAACCAACATGCCGAATCTATTATGGCAATGTGATAGCTGCGTAGTGAGCAGTAATTCGCACTCAAAAAAAGACGAGATCATGGAAGAACTTCGTGAACTTAAAAGCCTTAACTTGCTTTTAATTGTAAAGTTTCGATTCGCATTTCCCCGAGTCGGTGGAGGCCTCGGCTAATGGTAACACCAACCAGAGTTTGATGGCCGATTTGTGTGATATACCTAGTGCATATAATTGTAGCGCGCTCCCCACCTCCTGATGCCTCGCCGCTTCGCCTTACTCATGGGTGGCTGAGCCATTATTATGACTCTCTTCGCACCTACATTCGCAACAACAACAACATCGGATGACTTTGTCCTTTTCTTTATGCACCTCCTTGCTTGAAATGGGTCCGCTCCAACACAGCGCTCTCTTCGGAGTTGTGGATTTTACTATACCACTTTCTGACTACCGTCAAGAAGCTATGGCAACGGTTTCAAAGAATTCGTGATACAAGAGAATCGGAATTAGTTGCATAACGGTTAACTATAACCTGCATCTGTTGGGCCTTTCCAATTGACTGAATAGATAAGTTTATTACTTTTGAATTATTTAATATATTGAAGCGTATTCTAATACATTTAAGAAGGATAAGCAAATTCTTAAAAATAAATAAATTAAACTTACTCGATTTACGCAATATACAGCCAAAATGAAAATAAGAGTATATACTAAACATTAAACACTTAATTATATTTAAAAATACATGACCGCCGTTTAAAGCATAGTATGACCAATGAAAAGTTTACTCAACTACTCAAACTATTTTGGAATTAAATAATTTTAGGTAAATACCAAATAATGACAACAATGCGTATTTTTAAGACTAAGCAATTGGTTATACTAAAATGTACAAAGTGATTGGCGAGACTTTATCCCACGATTTATTTACTTTGAACTATAATTCTAAGAAATTGTCTAAAGAAATCCAGGAAACTTTCCAAGCTGCGTGTCATGATTTTGTTTAGCGCGCAAACTGATATAATTGGGCTGCTCTATTTCCCAGTCGGTACACGTGTTCGGTTCGTAAACTTCAGTAATTGGAGGCCAATTATCTATTTTGGAAACGTCATACTCAAGGCGCATGTATTTTTGCTTTGATGTGACCCAGTTTTGATCCCGCCGAACTTGGTATTTTTTGAATACAAGATATTCAACTAGAAAAGATTCGACAATAACATGACAAGTAAATGATGCTGCTCCGTAAACAAGCATAATATAACGAAAGCTCATAACAGGAGGTACGATGAGCTGAAAAAAATTTGCTACCCATTTACTTGGGTTAATAACCAAATAGACTATCAAGCATACATTTACAATAAATGCTAAGCAAAGTGGCCAGTTCGTCCACAGTGGTTTCCGATATGGCGCACCCTTGGAAAACACAAAAGCAAGTATTATGTACTGAAAACTAGATATGCAAAACATGGTGTAATTTTCATAGCAACCCAAATGTTCCTCATCCGCATGCTGAAAAGGTTCGAACCACGGCTGTTGGTGAAGATGAAACCAACCTAAAAAGAAAAATGATTGAATAAAAAAAATTGTATTATGTTGAGCTTTCGTCCATATACTTACCAGTCACCTGAAATCCTGTTACAACAGTAAGATGTAGTAAAAGGGATGCCAAAGGCGTGGAAGATATTAATGAGCTGAGGGGCACTTGTTTTACTAAATTTCCATCAAACGCTTCAGTTTTACCGAAAAAGAATGCAAATATCGATATTATTCCCAGATCTACATACAGATACTGCTTGTCTGTCAGATTTGAGTCGATCGAATACAGAATCATTACAGATATAAACTGAACCAGCGAATAGGCTGCCATATACTTGAAAATACCAAACGACGTGACTAATGCAGCGCGACCTTCTTTTATAACTTTTAAAACCGCAGAAATCGTGGGGTTGCGTGAAGTAAAAGGCGACGCTATTGACGCCTCGGTCTCGCTTAACGAAATACCAGCATGAGCTACTTTCAAGGCACCGCAATCGTTGGCACCATCACCGCACATGGCAACGCAATAGTCCAAATTTTGAAGTTCTATTACTAATGCTTGTTTTTGATCGGGCGACATTCGCGCGTAAATTGAACCCCGGGTTAATAACATTTTCATTTCCTCGGGAAAGTGGTCTTTTACAATTTGCCAAGTTTTGCCATCCATTGCAAATAAATAGTGTTGGCGCCAGCTTTCGTCTTGTGGGAGTTTCATTCCAAGCTCAACATCGCAATCTGTTGCCCCATTGTGGGTCCATGTGTCTGTGGTTTTTACACTAGCCAAACTATCACTTGTCGGCAGAACGCTTTCTGCATAACTTGAGCTTAATTCATTAACTAATGAATTCGTAGACTCCAGACGAAAAAGAGTTGAAGCATCGTCGGTGCTAAATACACTTCGACGATTAACGTTACCATTGCAACTTGATGTCAAATGAGATAATGAAGGGATTTTACTTCCCAAATCTAAAGTGTACTGTAACTTGTACTGATTATCTTGACTTTTATCAACAACACATTCAGAACCACTGGGATTGGTTCGAGTATCCGCACCATCATCAAGGAGATCTGCGTGCACGGTAATAACAGCTTGCGATGCACTTACGATGCCACAATCACGCGCAACGCTCATAGCGGTTAATATATTATCGCCTGTAATCATGATAGTTCGAATTTTGGCTGAGTTTAGTGCATTAATAACTTTAGCAGTATCTGGTTTAAGGCGATTCTCAAGTATTACAAAACCAAGAAATTCCAGATTGGATTCAACCTCTTCGCGGGTTAGTCGCTGTATTTTTGTATAGTTCATCTTGTGGGCAAGGGCTTTAAATGCAATGGCAATAACTCGGTATCCTTTTTTTGCAAATGACGATAATTGTTGGAAATAATTATCAGGTAAGCTTTGCGGGGAGCACAGCTTGTGCAACATCTCAGGAGAGCCTTTGCAGTAGACATTGAACACTTGGTCACTGAGACAACGGGTAATAACAGACATTCGCTGAAGGCTCGACGTAAATGGAAATTCTCGAACTATTCCATGATCTACATTTTTTTGATCTTGCGAAATGCCAACAGTGGCTAGTAAATCGTCTACTGAGGATTGTCGGTTAATTTTCGTTTTAGTTTCCATATCCAGTGAAGACAAATCGGAAAGGCAAGCTTTTGGTTGTCTCAAAATTGTTGGGTAAATTATTCCATATTTCTCATTATCTGGTATGTTACTTGAGTCTTCCAGTGTCCAACCCGTTGACTGAAACATTTTTAGGTCCAACGGATCTCCCATCATTGTGCCGTTCATTACAGTGATAGAATGACACGTTACCATACCAAAGAGAAAATGGTCGTAAGGTAGACGGTCAACATTGTTTAAGGGTATTTGAAATTGATTAGTTGATGATTTCGGCACAACCCCCCACATGTCCAGTCCATCTTCAGTAAGAGTACCAGTCTGAAATAAATAAATAAAAATGAGAAAATTTATATACAATATGTGAAAAAAAATAAAAAAATTAATAATATTGCTTTTAACAGAATTTTATTTAATATGTGTTTAAGATTGCATTACAGTGCACAATGCTATCACAATATTTTTTTTTGATTGTATAAATTCGACATATTGTTTTAAAAAAACCTATTTTAAAAGAAGGTATTTCAAGTAAAAAAAACATTTTTTGACCGGATGGTAACCCTTTTTATTTGGTCGCTTTTTTCAAAAAAAGTTGCTCAACTCTTTGGAAATATTGATGATTCTAGTCTTCCTTAATAGTTTGACGGTAAGTAAAATTAAAAACTAACAATTTAACAGAACGCTTTAGTCGAGTTCCCCGACTATTTGATAACCGTAACTCAGCTAAAAATTTTCGAAATTAATATTTTTAGTACAATGTCAAATGGCGTATTATATGAGATCATATACTTATTTATTTAAGTAATATAAGGAAAGAACAAGTCAACAAATAAAACTATTGAGCTAATAAAAATCTTAAAGCAACTGATTAACTTAATAAATAGGCAAGTGAACAACTAAACAAGTGAGTAACTGAACAACTGAGCAACTGAATAAGTAAGCAAAAAGAACAATAATTGTGAACATGTTCAGTTCACTCACTTAGGGGGCCGGATGGTTTCCGAGGCTGAAAAAAAAACAGATTTTTGCGAATTTTTTCTCATTCTTGAGTGAAAATATGCCTATATTTGAAGAGTATCTGGGATTTTTATACCCCTGCAGAGGGAATTATAATTTCAGTCAGAAGTTTGCAACGCAGTGAAGGAGACATCTCCGACCCTATAAAGTATGTATATTCTTGATCAGCATCACTAGGAGAGTCGATCTAGCCATGTCCGTCTGTCCGTCCGTCTATCCGTCTGTCCGTCCGTTTCTACGCAAACTAGTCTCCCAGTTTTAAAGCTATCTGCATGAAACTTTCCCAAAAGTTGTCTTTTTATTGCAGGTAGTATATAAGTCGGAACGAGCCGGAACGGACGACTATAGCATATAGCTCCCATAGGAACAATCGGAAAAATAAATTTAAAAAAATTATAATTTTGGTGTTTTTTAATTTTTTTTGTTAGTTCTTCGAGATATAGTAATGGTTAAATATTTCAGAATTACGGTTTAAATTTCATCAAAATCGGACGACTGTAGCATATAGCTCCCATAGGAACAATCGTATAGCCACCATAGGAACTATCGAATAATTAAGCTGCAAATCATTATAGCTTCAATGTTTTTAAACATACACGCAAGTAAATCATAATTTTAACGTTTTCAAGAGTATTTAGTTTTTGAAATAGCTGCAAAGGTATATGAACTTCGGCTTGCCGAAGTTTGCTTGTTTTCTTGTTTTTTTTTATTTTAATTATTTATTCCGTGGCGGCGGTCGATCGGAGTCTTTAAAAAAATGGCTCCTTGCGGTTGTCACAGTGAAAAAAATTGTGAAAAATGTCATTTAGATCGGGCCATTACTTTTCGAGTTACGTTACGCACCGACTTAAAAAAACGTAGTTTTGAGAAAAACGCATACCTGCCTTGTAGATAATTGGTATCTAAACGACTTTTTTTTTTTTAAATTTTGATTATAAGTATTTTCAAAATGTTCAAAAAGATCGAAAAAAATTGGTTAAAAAAAATCGATTGATTTCAACTCGACGGGTTTTTGTTATTTTAAATTATTTTTTTTGAAAGTGGTCAACCCGGTAACGGCATCTTTTCTAATGAAGAATTTGTTTGATTTTTTTCCGATCTCTACAAGGGCTCAAATCATGTCAACCAGGACGCAGGGATTTTTTTTAAGACCCCAATCCACAGGCCTGTATCTCTGCGAATATTGAGTTTTAATTGCGTATTGCTAAGAGGCCATGATTCAAAATTTGGTCATCAATTAATTTAGGGATTACGTTCAGGAACACCTTCAAATACCTGATGTGAACTAAATATAACCAACCAACATACATATTTGTATAACAAATTATTATAATTTTTAATTCCCAAGATATGTATATGTAACTCGCTATGCTTGTTTAGACAATTCTTCGTCAATGCTTACCGTCTGTGGCACAGTCTGCCACATAGCTATAAAACAATAAAAACTCAGATTAAATCTAAAACTAAAGAATACCCAAATGAAAATGAAAAACAAAAATTAAATTAAATAGGCGAAATCGACTTTTTGCTAATTTCTGTTGTGCAGCAAGTACCCAATAAGTAAGATGAGTTTCATTGAAAATCTATATGCTTCAGCCTGCTGCTTTTGTTGTTGTTTCCTGTTGTTAGTGGTGATAGTTCCCAACGATAGTATATCAATATGCCAAATATTAAGTTAACATCGAGCAAATATAGCGTAGAATGCAGTCATTTGGAGCACTTTTTTCCCGTCTCTAATAGTAATAGTTTTAAGTCTATAACTGTTAAAACTAGTTTGTATCTCCCATGCGTAAATCAACTGGTAAACACGAAGAGTTTTTTTTAATAAAAATCTGACTTTTAGGTCGCATGACTGTACCTCTAGATAGACAACGACTTCCATACTCTGTCTGTATGGACTCGGCTAGTGATCCAGAGGCAAATATATATACTAAGGGGAAACGATTCGTTGTCAATGCTGCATTATAATTAAAAGTATACAATATTAGTTTACGAGTAACAGGTATAAAAATTAATTGTTTGGAAGAGGGGCATGTACAAAATTTCACAAAGTTGAATAATAATTTATATAAACAATCGGAAGCTAAATAATTATACAAATGCAAATTTTTAGCTTTTTATTAAACTGACGCTATTTTACAAATCGTTGTCATGATGATCCTAAAATCTTTTTAAAAAATGGTTCATTAGATATTTGTACAACATTAAAAAGCCTTTTGCACAAAACAATATTAACTAGAAAGGAAGCAAACTTCAACGAGCCGAACTTAATATGCCCTTGAATCTGTTGCAAAAATAAATATTCTTTAAAACATCTTAACTTCAAATAATATGAGTACATGTATAAAATCATTGAAGCTATTATGATATTCAGCTCAATTTGTATTATTAAAAGCGAGATTCTGAATAATTTAACCATTACACTGTCCGAAAAAAATTAAAACCAAGAAAGGAAGCAAACTTCGGCAAGCCGAAGTATATATACCCTTGCAGTATTCTTGAAAACATTAAAATTATTATTGACTTGCGTGTATGTTTACTTTGGAGCTATGATGATTGCAGCTCAATTTATTGATAGTTCGATTTTAATTAAATTAAAAGCGTAATTCTCAGCTGTCAAATTATTAATTATTATTAAAAAATTACAAAATAAGGTCAAATTTTTTTAAATTTTGTTTTTTAATATTTTGTATTGTTCCCGTGGGAGCTTTATAGTCGTCCGATTTTCATGAAATTTATACCGTAATTCGAAAATATTTAAACATTACTATGTGTCGAAGAACTAAAAAAAAAATTAAAAACACCAAAGTTATAATTTTTTTTTATTTTTTTTCCGATTGTTCCTATGAGAGCTATATGCTATAATCGTCCGATCCGGCTTATTCCTCCTATACTACCTTCAATAGAAAGACAACTTTTGGGAAAGTCTCAGGCAGATACCTTTAAAACTGAGAGACTAGTTTGCATAGAAACGGACGGACAGACAGACATGGCTAGATCGACTCTCCTAGTGATGCTGATCAAGAATATATATACTTTATAGGGTTCTGACTGAAATTATAATACCCATTGCAAGGGTATACTTAGAGAAGTTACAATTTTGTTAATTTATTTTTTTATATATTCCGGTTGTTCCTATTATATAGTCGTCTGATTTCGATCAAATTCAAAAACGGTATTAAAGAACAGTCCTATCTTAATAAATGATATAGTAATCTAAGTGTATCGGTTTATGCATACTGAGAGTTATAGAAAGTCATTTGGTTTCGGAAAAATGGCGGTGAAAGTTCGAAAAAAATTCGTTCTTATACTGGAGCTGTTGGCGCCGGTGGAAAGAAAATAATTTATTTTATTATTAATTTGATAACGCTACACCTCGGTATCTCTATACGATACTCCCTTCAAAAGATATTCAATAAACAAGAATTTAACTGCATTTTTGAAATAATTTTTTGTCGTAATCGGCACAAAGCTGCACAATAAATCAAAAAATCAGCCTTGTTACTTAACAATTTTATATAAAGTAAACAAAGAAAGTTTTTTTTGGTAAAATAAATAATAATCGTCACAAAATTTGATATTTCAGAAATTTTTGGAGTTGGTGAGATCGTTGCTTTATTCTTACCTCGTCAAGAGGTGTTTTTTTTTGATTGTACAATTGGCCAAAAATTGGTAACGCAGAGGACACATTTTCGACCTTTGACATTTCCGACAACTGGACAGTTTGTACGACCGTCCGATTGTGAATTCAGAAAAGTGATGTAAAGTGTAAAAACAGGGTTGATTTAATCAGCTGAAATCAGTTGTGTTTGTATCAAACCGAAGGAACACTACTGTCCAGTTAGAGTTATGTCTTACGTATAATCTTAAGTAAACTCATTTTCCTACATAGAGACTGTATCTGTCCCAGATATTTTAACTGGCACTCAAGAGCATCGCCCTGAAGCTTACACTTCAAAGTATGTTTATGCAGTTCAATTCAACTCTCTTCAACTCTTTATATATTATTCAACCTGTCCAAATTTATACATCAGGATTCTGGAAACTCGTTTAGAAACCAAGATAACTATTTTATATATATTAAAAAAATGGGTCTTTGCATTTTGTCATGACAACAAAATTATTAAGTCTAACATGACCAACAAACATGTTTGCCAGAACACAAGGGACATACCAGGAAACGAGAAAGCAGACGAACTAACCCGAATGGGGTCGGCTAATAACACCAATACAACAGCAAAACCAGTATACCTAAACACAGTCCAGTCAAGGATTCATTATCGTATTAATATACAAGTCAGCAAGAGATGGTCGGAAAAGCAAGATTACAGGAGATCACAGTTTTGCTGGCCAACTTTCGACAGCAAGAGGACACAAGAACTTAAAGCCAAAAGCAAAACGGATATCAGCAGAATTACCGCAGTCATCCCCGGCATTGGGCTATCGGCACACACGCCATGAAGATGGGACTGCCGTATAACACAAGCTGCAAAGAAACGGACGCACAAAAGACACTTAAACACATGCTTTGTCATTGCCCAGTACTAAACCAGATCAGGACGCGGCACTTCGAAGACTACCAGTAAGATTGAGGGATATAGGAAAGCAGAAGATTGCAGGTATCTTAGGATTCCGAAATGAGGCAGGATGCTACTGATGCAAAAGCATTTACAGCAGTCTAGGAGAGTGTGGATCATAACGGAGCTCAGCTCTACTTGGAGATCTTTAGTTCCAACAATTGGAAAATGTAGATATTATTAAAATGTCAGGTCAGTTAAAATAGAAAAACAAATGCAAACCAACCCTCTGTTTAAGCTAACTATGTGCTAAATGTCCTAATACACATTAATTTGACGAAACACTTTGTTTGTTAATAAGATTATTACGATGATACGAACCTTGTCAAAGCAACAGCAATTTATGCTTCCTGCTACGTTAATAGACCGTGGGGAAATGCAAAATATTTCACTAGCCTTTAAACGCTTTTGTGCATAGAAACGACCGACGGTCATTGCCGCTGGTAGTGCTGGTGGTACAACAATTGTAATAAGGTCCAGAGATTCAACTGCTATTTTAACGGGATCCGTTCCCCGCAATATCTGAAGATACGTTTGGAATTTTATTTGTAGTTAATAATCTATAAAATAGTCAACTTACTTTCGTTAAAAGTGTATAAATGAATCCAATACAAGCTATTAATGCAAGAAACTGAATAAATTTATACGAATCTTGTTCAAACTTGTAGTCAACAGGTGGGGGATATAGAATAGATCTTATTAGTTCCCCTTTGGCTGTTATGTTCCCAGTGTTTATCACAAATGCCAATACTTTTTTTGATCCAATGTATCGAGTCTGGATAACTTTTGTACCACAAAAAAGCGTATGCCTGGCGTGTTCTGTTTTATCGAATATCATGTCACGTTTCGACGGTAACGGAGTTTTGGTCACTGGCACACTTTCGCCTGTAAGCATAGACTCGTCCAGTATACAGTTTCCCGATAATAATACTGCATCACACTGCATTGTACAGCCTGAAGACGGTATTTCAATTATGTCTCCCGGAACTAGTGATCGCGTTGGAAACTCTTTTGACAGTCCTTTAGAATCAACAATCCAAGCATTTCCAGTGTTATATACTGTTTTTTGAAGTACATCTTGATTCTAAGAAAATAAATATTTAAAAACTGTTTTATGAAATCTATATAGTGTCTAGTATAGTATATAGAGATACTTGCCTTTTTCGTTTGCAAAATAGAAACAGTTACACCAAATATTGACATTAAAAGTATTACGCAAGCATAGTAGTAATAATCATATGTGAACCACAGGATCACTGAGAATATTTGAAAAACGTAAAAAGGGTTTAATACTTCCAAAAAAAGCAATGTCTTTATATCTCGCAATGGCACAGTTATTTGATTTTCCCCAAAAACAACTCGTCTTGAAATTTGCTCGTTTACGGTTAATCCGCGTTGTTGGTGATAATATGAACAGGGAATATTTAGGTCGAGACCATTTATCTTTTGGAAACAATTAAGATTGTTGTTCCATGCGTACACTAATTGCTTGCACCGAAATATTCTTAGGGATGAACATCCTGAAAAACACATGGTCAATTATTGAATTACTTTATATGTTCGAATACTACATACTTTTAAACAGCGCAGAGCTGAAATGAACCGATAGTTGCAATGCGTTCTCAACATTTTCATCTTCTAAATTCATCCTTTCTGTGCCCGACGGGTCCTTATGCAACAGCGTCCTGAAAAAATGTTTTGCACTTGAGCAACAATTATTTTTTATGCGAATCGATTTGTACTTACTTAAGGTGGTTTACAGAAAGGACCTGAATTCGCTTTACGTGATATATTTTGTGCTTTCCTTGATAATCTTCTGTTACCAAAACCTGTTCAGCCTCCTCCAACGAACATTGAGAGCAAGTGGCAAATAGGTACAAATGACGCCACCAATGTAAAACGAGCCGCAGTAGACCGCCAGTTAAAAAAATACAAGCCCAGCAAACAACCGTGCGTATATAAGAACGACGATAGCCGCATATTATCATTTGATCCTCCTGATCTTGATTTAATATTCCAGTACATGGTTTAGAATCTAAAACGAAATTTACAAAAAATTATACTTAAATTAAGAACAATTTTACTTAAATACGTTACGAATCTACGAATCATACCTCTTGACTCTTTGGGGTTAATCATAATTCAATTGCAAGGTTTTCTGTACAACAGGTTCCAAAACAGAAGAAAAACTACCTATATAAATTCTGATTAACACAAAAAGAGCATAAATATTAAAAAAAAAAATATTGAGTATTTTTGGTAAAGTAGATTTAGTTAGATTTAGACAATGACTTTTGTTATTTGACAAATATCAATGTAAAATGTTTAGGATTACATGTATTGTAAATTAACAATGTCTTAAAACGCAGTGGGCTATGTCGATTAGCTAAGACAAGTTAACGAAAAAAACAAGACAAATTCAATGAAAAACTTAAAACCACGAGTTGCTAGCGAAACGGCTAATCGAAAAGGCAACATCAATAGATAAAAACCAAATGATAAGAGTCCAAAACGCGCACTTGTTATTATTTGTCCGCCTAGAGCAGTCAGTCTCATTGCCCTTCATGTTTTATTTTATTCGTTTATGCGTTTATATGTTTATTGGGCGTTTGTTGATGGTTCGTAGGGGCTTTAAACTGTTTCCAAAAAAAAAATAAAAAAAATGTTGTGTGAAAATTACTAAATAGACCAATCTGCAACAACTTTGTTTCATACAAAGTTAAAATGACTATATATAAAATTTAGACGCACTTTTACACACATTCACGAAGTCCATAACGAAAACAATAAGTAACAATCTTCATCAATTAATGCATACGAACGTACACACAATCATACCCACAAGTCTTTATGTGCAGGCAAGATTGTATAGCGTTGATCAAGACGTGTACATATACAAACACAGAAATATTTTCAAACCACTTCGGCATATTTATATTTACACATGTGTTGGTTCGTATGTATGTTCATCAATTTATTGTTTTTAAATTATACTTTCCTATCCGAATGAGTCGTTGAATGAATGTGAATTGTAGAGACAAGCATATTTTTAAGACAATTTATGCCACCAAATATTGTCGATCCACATGTTTAAAATGTAATAGAACATTTTCCGTGTAACGTTTTACCCTTCCCAATATATAAGCACACATTATCGAACAAAATTTTATATATTTCAGATAATAAAAACGAGAACTAAGACGAGAGTTCAGAAACACGTAAAACAATTTTAAAGTTTAGTTTAACAAAAATTTAAATTAAGTTAGATTTTTTTATTTAAATAACTGTGAAAGCCAAATTTATATTATCTCCCAATTTTGTTGTGTGTAACAGGTTTTTTGTTTAACTAAATAATATGTATGTCATATATGTATGTACATATGTTTATCGAGTGTGACACAGAAATGTTATCGTTTGAAATTGACTTTAAATTTGTATGTACATCATATGTACATTCAGACGGAATTTCAACAGAAGTGATTGACGTATTCACCCCCGTACAAATACTGTAGCTCGAAGTTAAGTTCAACAAAACAATTTTAAAACTTAAACGCCCATAAAAACAGAACAGGCAATCAACATAATTTAAATGCTGCATAATTTTTAAATATTCAAAACTATTTTTAAAACTTTTTAATTAAAAAGTAGCATATCACAGAAAAAACGGTTCAGATTATTTAAGCCAAGTAACAAATTCAACTCACAGATTAAGTTTATCGCCATTAAAAATATTTAAGTATATTATATAACTGCCTTCACAACACATTTGATTAATTTTTGTATGATTTCACCAATTTTTGTTGTTTCTGGGTATATGGGCGATTTACTCCTTTAATGGGTGATTTTGGTAGGATATTTTATATTATTAAAAGTCGATTTTTATTGTAGATTATTATGTCTAAAATGTAAGAAACTGACAAGTTACAGTGGTTTATGCTAATCGTTTTTATTTAGCATTTCCGATTTTATAAAATTTATGACGATATTCCCATAAGAGTCATTGCTAAAATGGGTTAACATCCCAGCGCCAAAATTGTTGGTCGGATGGTTTTGTTGACCAAAAGACAAAACGTATGTATATATAATCCAATTAGATAATCCAACTTTTTTTTTATGATCATAATGTATCGAAATTTTTTTTAGGATTGTGTTTCTTTCCCTTTCTTTGTATGGCGCGCAGGCTATGCGAATTTTGGTGAATTTATAACGAAACGGCAACACGAAGTTTTCATAGCCTTACAATCAAATTATGGATCCGAAATGATAAAAACCATTATTTTTAGCAAAGAAGAAGCGAGATTATAACACAGTTGTTCGAAAACAACAAAATTTATTTAACTACACCCTTGCAGAGGGTATTTTAATAACAGAAGTTTGCAACGCAGTGAAGAACACATTTCCGACCCTATAAAGAATATATATATATATATATATATATATACAAATACGCATATAAATCGAAACTTAGATGTTTTAAAGACTTATTCATATTTTCAGTAGCTGCAGGGGTAAATTAACTTCACCTGGTTTTTGACATTATACAGCAGCCAAAGCTTTGTATTTTGTATGGAAGTTGTCTTGCTGGAACCAATATTCACTTTCCAGCCAATAATCTTCATCATTTTGCTTTAAATTGTTTTTTTAAATGTTGATATAGAGTATTGATCCATAATTGTCTCGATAAATGTCAACTTTCCCACCCCACTTGCTGATATACACGCCAACACCATAATTCCGCTTCCCCCACGTTTCACCGTGCCATTTAAGTTTTCTTTTTTGAAGGCTTCTCTGTTTTTCCGCCACACCAAGACTTTTCCCTTGTTTCCGAATATACAGAATTTACTTTCGTCGGAAAATTTTACTTTATTTTAGAGTTCTTGAGTCTTTGAAATGAACTCATGATCCTCAGAAATCATAGGTTTCTTGCGGGCGACTACTATGGTAGTCATCCTTTTTTATGACACGGCGCACTTTTTTTTCGGGAACTGTTTTGGGAAAACTCGCCTCGATCTGAAGCTTTGTCAGATGAGCTGTAGTCCTGGAATTACGCTGAATAGAATTAACAACAGTCGAGTTTGGTTAGCAAGGGCGGACGTCCAGAACGAGCCTTTGATAGGATAGTGTCAGTTTTTATCCATGTTGAAATACATGCACAGACAATCTGCAGAAGATCGGCACCAAAAATCCTAACGGTAATCGCACAATCTTGCATTCCACTTGGCTTTAAACAGCTGTAAGCAGACTTTTAAGCGTACGGTTTTTCATTCTTGAATATTTCCAAAATAAAATTGAAAAGAATATTATAGTTTTGTTTAAAAAAAGAATGAATAAAATAGATGTACAAATGGCCGGAACAATGAATGTTCAAAGTTTGATTTTGAAATTTTTTGGGGGTATGCGCAGAGATATGCGATAGAGTGCACCTTGTTGGCGCCAAAACCCTCTGTTTTTTCTGGAATTATTTTTCTTTGGAAAGTATAATAGGTATGAGAATAAAAACCCCAGTTGTAGAGTACTGATGTATTGATGCTACACAATTTTGGGGGTGATCCAAGTGAAGGATGGGAGAGGTGGTACCCAACAATGGCGGCAACTCGTCCTCATGGAGGAAGCCGTAAAAAAATATGAAACGCAACAGACGTATATGTTCTTAATCTGTTCACTTTTTCGAATCCTTGGTACTAGTATTTGAACTATAATTGCAAAAATGTATATCGAGTTTCATAGCTCTCAATCAAAATATTCATCGGTTATCATGTTATCGCGGTCGCTGATTACGAATCTGGCATTAAATTTACAAAATTAATTTGTATAAACAATTGTTTGACTTTACAAGGAATCCTTTAATGATTTAAATTATTCAATTGTTAAATAAAATTATCGAAGTATATTCAAATCAAGTGAAAAACAGCGAAATTTTGTTTTGTTTCCTAAAACTTTAGCCTATTGTTCCTATCATCCAATATTATTAAAATTAAAAACGAAAATTGAAAAATTAAGACATTACAACATTGAAGCAATGATGATTTTGCAGCTCAATTATTAGATAGTTATTTTATATATTTTTATTATTTCTATGGGAGTATATGATATAGTCGTCCGATTTTGATGAAACTTAAACCGTAATTCTGAAATATGTAATCAATATTATATGTCAAAGAACTAATAGAAAAATTTAAAAACAGCAAAGTTATAATTTTTTTGTATTTTTTTCTGATTGTTCCTATGGGAGCTATATGCTATAGTCGTCCGATCCGGCTCGTTCCGATTTATATACTACCTGCAATAGAAAGACAACTTTAGGTAAAGTTTCATGCAGATAGCTTTAAAACTGAGAGACTAGTTTGCGTAGAAACGGACGGACAGACGGACGGAGAGACGGACAGACGGACATGGCTAGATCGACTCGCCTAGTGATGCTGATCAAGAATATATATACTTTATAGGGTCGGAGATGTCTCCTTCACTACGTTGCAAACTTCTGACTGAAATTATACTTCCCTCTTCAAGGTTATAAAAACCAAATACAGAGAAGTTATTTGGCCCTCAGAATTTAATCAAATTCGAACCGAAACTCTAACTTATGAGAGCTAAATTTTGTTGCAAACAGAATATTCTTTAACGAGCTATCTAACTGTTGAAAAACTAATCCCGCTTTCTCTCACTTATATTGTACGTGTAATATAATGACATTTCTTTGAAAATGTTTCTTGCATGTACCATTTAAACTGAGAGACTAGTTTGTGTAGAAACGGACGGACATACGGACGTGGCTAGAGCGATGATGATCAGAAGTATTTATACCATTTATGGGGGCGGAAATGTCTCCTTCACTGCGAAGCAAATTGTAAACTGAAATTACAATTGCAAAAAATATGCACCACTCAGCAAATATTCTTTTTAATAAAAAAAAAACTTTAGATTTTTGTAAATTGTTAGTAATTATTCTATACGAAAATAAGTGTAACGTTTTTCAAATTCCTTTCCGTATATTATTTGTACTATTTTTTTTACAATAGTTGTTTTAAATACCGAAAACAAACACCGGTATCACGGTTTTTAAAGAACTGTACAAATTGTCTTGAGAAAAGCATGTGTTCATTAGATTTCACTTTAATTTCATTGTTTCCATCATTAAAATTAATAAATAACAAGAAAATGGGACGTGGAAACCAAAGCAATTTGAAAAAGCGTGTACTCTTCAATGTTCGATGTTCAAACAAATTGATAAGCAACGGCATAACCATCAGGAAAAACCTTTAGCCCGTGGCCGGTAGCGATCTATCACCCCTCTTTTAGTCAATTGGATAATTCGTGAGAGCAAGAAAGATCCCTTCAAGCCTGCTACTGCGTTTAAAACTGAAAATAAAAGCGGCAGATTAAAAAGTTCGCACATATCTTAGGCAACATAACTTAAAAAAAAGATACCACTTTTAAATGCGAGACAAATTGCCAAGCGCATGAAGTTTGCCAAGAAACAATCAAACTGGACTTTCCAAAAATGGATGAGTATTTTACGGTTAGACAAGAGTAAGATGAATATGTTTGGAGGAAAAGGATCTCGGTCGAACGGCAGACGACCAAAGAACCCAGAATACAAACCCCAGTACACCACGAACATCTTAGTATAATGGGATGTGCTTACTTTTCCTACTATGCAGTATATTAATATATATGATAAAAATCATCATGGATCAGCACGTCTATGTGAACATTTTGGAAACCAAAATTTCCTTTTTTTAATTGTGGTGCTACTATTATCTAAAACATTTTTATAATTTCTTTGTTTATCCCCATTTTGTTTAGAGTCTACCATAACTAAAAAGGTGTACAGCGCTTACCTTAGGTTAAAAATATAAGTGAGGTGACTGATTGATTTTGCTGGTGGTGCTTATATGTTTTTCACAGTTATATCATGCTGAACAAATTAACCTGACTGTTCATATGTCAGTTACTTATAAGTCAAGCAAAAAAACCTCTTAACGAGGTTATAATAAAGTGACAATCGCACCTTTAACTACAAAATCTTCTGACATCAGATTTTGTGACGATTATTTTTTTTCCAAAAAAAACATATATATTTTTAATTAATTAGTTTCTGATTCAGCACGCTGCTTTGGAATTGTTAGGTAACAAGATTTTCGCCGAATACGAAAGTAATTAAATAAAAAAAGTTCATTTTTTCAGTCATAAGTTTGAAAGAGACATATCCGACACTATAACGTATATATTCTTGATCAGCATTACTAAGAGAGTCGCCATGTCCGAATACCCGTCAGTCAATCAGTCATATGCATGAAACTTTCCCAAAAGTTGTCTTCTTGTTGCAGGTATTATATAAGTCGAAACGACCCGGATCGGACGACTATAGCATATAGCTCCCGAAGGAACAATCTGACAAATTTTTTCTGAGGGATTTTGGAAGCTTATCGCCTTATTCTTGGTTAAAAGGGAGTTTGCTGAAGACATTCACGGACATCGCTTTGGACAACGCCCTTTTTGTGCTGGGTTCCCGCAATGAAGAGTCATTGGGCAAGTCCTGTACATAGTTTATGCGTCGATCTTCCAAACCCAGTTGCTCACGGTACACTCCTGACACTGCATTTCGTGCAGTTAGTAGCACCCTTTTGTCTGCCCCCCGGCGTGTGCAGACATTCTTAAATGATTTAGTCTTGGGCTTCTCGGTGAAACATTGCACTGAACGTCGACAACACGCAGTACGACGCACTTGCTTTCCACACTGGCCGTTCGCGTATCCTCTATCTTGATGGGGATAGACTTAAGCATGAATATGAAATGGGTTACCTACCTGGTGTTACTTTGCACCGTCGCCTTTTTTTGGGAAGGGGCAAATTGACCGGGTGTGTGGCTAGAAGTCTTGCTACACTATTGGGTCGACGACATCTGCCCAGGCGGCACTCGGCGGACCTGTGGATTATTGGCGCCTCCAATAAAATTACCCGAAGGGATCTTTGGAACACTCCCTTATGGCATACACAAAAACAAAGACAAAGCGTGTAAAATATATAATTGCCTTCTGGGATTATTATCAAAAAATGGTTTTAACTTTATTCAAATTGGAAAAGGATATCATACAGCTGCCGTAGGAACTATCGAATAATTGAGCTGAAAATCATCATAGCTTCAATGTTTTTAAATGAATATTTAATGTTAAAGAATTTTTAATTTATGCAATAGCTGCAAGGGTATATAAGCCAGAACACAACCATGAAACAAAAGTCAGACTTTTTAATCTACCGGCCCCAAGAGCTCCCATATTAGAAAACAAAAGATTGTAAAAATTGTAGTATGCAGAAACTCATATAAAAGCAATATCTCCTTGTTGCCATGCCATTTTTAAAGATCGGAATATTCTTTGCTGAATTGCAACCTGCAATTGTAAGGAGACTTTTGAAAAAAATTTCATCCAGTTTGCGTAGAAAGACTGATGGGCATGAGTTAATCGATTGTCTTAGTGATCTTGATGAGGAACTAAGCTTATAGGGTAAGGGTATAAAAAGGTATAATCCGAAGGGTTTGGGATAAGCATAGGGTTCGAGGTTATTGTATAACATGTTATAAAGTTAAATTAAATCACCCATAAAAATAAATAATTTTTATCCAAATGCTACCAATTTCGAAACCTTTTCTGCCCACATTTTTGTGAAATTTTTCAAACTCGAGGTTAATGTCAGCTAAAAGTTAAAGTAAATTAATGATTTGTGTTGATGCCAACACAGACAAATAGTATAGCGATGTTTTAACAGATATACATATAACGAATATACATATTTACACCAATAAGTCAATCTGCTCCAATCGGGCAGAGTTGAAGATTTTTAAAGTGGTTCATCAGATAGCAAGTCTGGATCACCAATGTTAAAATCAGCACTCAGCCCGGTCGAAAGGCTTGTCACCAATACACAGCAAATTTCAATAAATGTTAAGATCCGATAATGGTTAATACTTTAAGTTTAAGCCAAAACTTGACCTCAGGTTTTTTATTTTGTGATTTGATTTTATACATACCATCGACAAGCCGGTGAGAGTCCTTTAGATAAAGTTCTTCGATGCTTGGCTCGAGGATGCCTTCTTCGTTTGCTCCACTCATGCGTTCATGATCGGGACGAATATTCTGGAGGAGCGGAACAGATCTTACTGGCGAGTTTGTACAGCCGTTGGCTAAAGTATTATTGTTCTCAACCTTAATAGGTTTGTTACTGGGTCCTTTTTCACTTTTTCTAGGCTGTACTAATGTTGCCTCTACATCATACGCTTGAGCGGGTGAATGCCACCAACTAAGCTTCAAGAGTTTATTTTTCGAAGCAATTTGAGGGAACTGAAGATCTTTCTCCGTTTCGACATCCACATCTATAATTTTGTTGTTTTTAGCCAGATCTGGTAATGATTTGAGCTGCAAAGTCTCACTATGAGATTTAGCAATCTCAGTAGGCTTACCCTGGCTTGTAAACATCTTTTAAACAGTAAGAACTTAAGAAAGCATGTAGTTTTGCTATTTTGTTTTGAGTTTTAAAAGTTGTGGGCGACTCTAATGTCAGCTGCACATCTGGCCTTTACAAACTATCACTCTGAAGCAGGAAATGAAACCAACAATTGATTTCCCAAATATCATTTTAGTTCTGTTTGGCCTACTCAATTTGCTCAAAAACATGGGACGAGCTTGGGTATCATTGCAAAGTGTCACGAGTTTAACCGTAAACAATTTGAAACGCGTTTTTTTCCGCTGTCGTCCTCTAAATAAAAATTCCACACGGTGGCATAAGAGATGCAGAGCCTGCTTTTCTGCTGCTGGGCTTCTTTCCCAGTTTTTCTTTAATCATCCAAAACATGCAATAGGCTTTAAACAAGTTCCTCCGCTTCCCACGCTTTTCTCAAAAAAGAACTGTTTGATGTACTCCTTCTGTAGAATCTCCAAGCTTAATCTTGCCCCGCTGGGCAGGGCGCCAATTAACCTGTTAAACCTTAGTTTAAATACACCGTAGTACCGCTTGAGCCAATTTCTTTTTAAAAGCCCACTTTTTTCCAGATTCTTCTTTATAGCACCTTGAACTGAATTCATTACGATACAATTGCTCGGATAAACTTCTTATTTTGACAATTGTAAATTACGTGACAATTTCTTTGTGTTTGTAACAATATGATTTACAATGTTTTTTTTCCATTTAGGACCATGAATATTACTGTTTAGTTATAAAAAGATCCGACGTAGAATTAAAAATGGAATGCCACTTAGTGAACATCACTCTAGTTTTATTATATGTTTTCTTATATTTATCTTTTGTGGTACCATTCATTTCATTAAGAACAGCGTTCAATGGCATATTAGTAAGTATCCATGCAACAGCATGCATATGTTTGAAAATTGATAGCCTTCTCTTTTTTGTTTGCCTTAATGATAGTGCATTTTCTGAAACGAAAAGATGTAATTAAGTAAGTTATTTTAATTTTATCCTTGCAAATCTTGTAATAATTGTTGCGACAAACTGATATTTTCGAAATTATCAATACGCACTTTTAAGTGACAGTATGCCATTATCATGGTCATATTCTTAGTGTCATTGTAGAGTCCATTATTTGACACCTTTCAGTATTCATGAAAAACTGATTTAAAATCCTATGAAGTTAAGATGTATGCTGGCTTCGTAAAAATCTGCTATCTATTGCCGCACTCTGAACTCAACTATCGAACCTTCGACCGTCATAAGCTTAAACACCTGTGCTCATCCAATGGGTCTTTAAGTAGATCCTTGACGATATATTGATGTATCAGCTATGTATTGATGTCCGCAGCAAAAAATATCAAACATCGATACGATATATTTAACAAAGTTCTCAACATCGATGTGTCGATAGTAAATTTTATCACGAAGAACGCATGTTCAGCAAAGCAGGACAACTTGTGTATAATGGCAGATGTTTGCTTAAACCATCCATGGTGAACAAACTTCTATTTTTTAACAGAAACTACGGTCTTATAAGTTGAGAAAGTTCTTTTTTTGACTCAGGAAAGTAACCGAAATGTACCAAAATTTTATTTGCTTATTATGAAAGAACAAACAAGAAAGGAAGCAAACTTTGTTAAGCTGAAGTTTATATACCCTTGCAGCTATTGCAGAAAAGAAATATATTTTATAACATCTAAACTTTAATTTATATGCATATTGTTTAAAAACTAAAGCAAATACGATTTTCAGGTAAATTTTTCGATCATTCCTATTCTTTATTATTAAACCATTACTATATCCAAAAGCAGAAATCAAGTGAAAAAAAGAGAAAAATTTTAAGTTACATTTTTGTAATTGTTCCCATGGAAGCTACCTGATGGTCGTCAGATTTTAATCAGATTTATACCATAATTCTGAAATAATAAACAATTAATATCACAAAGAACTAAAAAAAACAGCATTGACAGTTTTTTATTTTTTTTCACGAGTGGGAGCTCTATGCTAGATGTGTTCCTATATATGCGACTTATATACTACCTGCAATAGGAAGACGACTTATGGGACAGTTTCGTGCAGATAGCTTTTAAACTGAGAGACTTGTTTCCGTATAGAAATGGACGAACGGTCAGACGGACATGGATAGATCGAGTCTTCTAGTGATGCTGATCAAGAATATATGTACCACCTAAACTTCGTTTGCGTTGTAGGGGAAATACTTAGGTTGAAGTTTGCTGGCTGAGTAACGGGAATCTAATAGTCGGGGAGCTGAACTATAGCGTTCTTACTTGTTTTTTTAATGAAAATTCACCAATGAATAAGCACCAATTTCTGGATATGAATCACCAATGAAAAAGATGATGATGCTGTCAGAAGACTCGGAAATGGCCTTTATATGGCGTTGTAAGCCCCCACCAGCAGGTTCTTAAATTTAATTGTATTTCGTTTGTCAATAAGCTTCAAAGTCATCTTAGCTTGAAGAGATACGGTTCATGTATCTAGAATTCAAAGATTGTTCTGCCGACAAAATGTATATGATTCAAGAATGTAATTAGATACATATGTATCAACTTGTCCATGATGTCACAGATTTTTAATAGCTTCAATTAAGCCAAAACAAAGCATTATTATTTTTGATATGAGTACGTATTCCTGGCAAAGAGTGACAGTTTTTGGAAATTTATGCATGGGTAAAACAGACAAAGAATATTTGAAATTTATACAATCAGCTGTTCTCTTAGCTAAGATAATAGCCATGTACACTTTTTTGCCAAGAAGATGAAGATCTCGTTAGCATCGGTTTATTTACGTATGAGCTCTCGACCCACAAATTATTTATTTAACATCAGAAATGTGTAATATTTCAGATTTCGTGACGTAATATTAGCGAATGAAAAGTATCTGTTAAAATATGTATTTACATATGTATGTATGAAAATCATACACTAGTATTAATCTACAATTACACATGTGTAAGCACTTTGTATCTAGAACATTTTTAAAAATGTATACATACATACATTCAAATCAATAGTCATATAAACGGATAAGTCACAAAATATTGCGAAAGGGAGATTGTGCACATGTATTTAATTTAACCCGGATTCAAGCAACTTTATATAAGATTAAATTAATTTTTGGAAGAACTATCAAAGTATTTACATCAATATATCGATATTTTTATAATATTTTCTGTAGCGAACTATAGCCTTTTTATAGCTTAGGCACACTTATACCGCTGCACACAGCCGCTAAAAAAAGTTGTAGCGAACGAGTTATATTGTCCCGTTCACACAGGCACCTGCTGCAAAACTTAATACAATTTTAACATTCGCAAGTAGAATGTTTTACCTCACTTAATGATTTATCCTCTATTGTTGGCCTAGGGCTTTTCAGCGCTCTTTGCAGGTCATTCAGCTTGTTAATCCACAGGTCAAATGAAAGTCCTAAAATCGTAATGGTTAATGTTCATAGCTATTCGATATAGCTGACTTGGTCCAAAATTGCAACTAATTGCAACAACGAGCTCAGTGATTTTTCCGCCTCTTTCTGTCGCATGTAATTTATATGGATATATCTATTAGGTTCCGCAGTTGCAAAATTCGGTCACTGTTGCAAAACAGCCTACTGTGGGAATAGGCTACTTATTTTTTAACCATCCAAGCGAAACGGTTGGGATTTTAGATGGATGGTGGACTGGTGCTGCGATTAGGATATGCGACAAGTGTCGCTTGCGCTTGTTTTCAGTAATCAGAATAGTTATTATATTCGAAAGCCAAAAAACAAGAAAATAAACTTTCTTAATGTTTCTTTACACTCATAATAAAAGTTTACTGTTTTTATACCTACAAAATAAATAAATATGAATAAATTTTTGGTTGGTATATATTTATTCGAATACCATCTGTCGATACGGAATAAACTTTTCAACGATTCAAACTGTTTTATTTTCATGGGATCTATATGACATGGTCGTCCGATTTGAATACAATTTAAACGGTAAGTCTTAGACTTAAATATCACTAAATATCGAAAATCTAGCAAAAAATATGTAAAAAACGGCTATAATTTTTTTAAATTTTGTTTTAGATTGTTCGTATCGAAGCAATATGATTAGTAGTCCGATCCAGCTCGTTCCGACTTAAGTACAACCTGCAATAGAAAAACAACTTTTAGGAAAGATTCATGCAGATAGCTTGAAAACTGAGAGACTGTTTGCGTAGAAACGGACGGACGGACGGACAGACAGACGGAATATACTTTATTGGGTCGAAAATGTCTCCTTCACTGCTTTGCAAACTTCTGATTGAAATTATAGTACCCTCTGCAAGAGTATAAAAATGAGCTGTTTTAGTGATGGCACGAACAATCGGTACCCATAGGTATTTTCCGGTATTTTCCTTTTAAATGTGTTCCTTTTTTGCCTGACTTCATTGGCGCACTGGTGGACTTTTTAAATGTGCCTGATGACATTGGCGCACTCCGACAAATGCTAATGCCACTCCGAAAATTTATTTTTAAATTTCTTGAAGTTTCCATGTGAACGTAACGTTAGAAAACGATTTAAGAGGGAAAAAATTTTATTCGTTTTTTTTTCATTCTATCTTTTCATGTAACGCAATTTGTATGTTCATTTCTGAACAAAAAAAATTTTGACGGTTGGACAAGTCCAGTTCTTCGAAATGGCGACTTCACATGCTGTAATGGAAAACTAAAAAGCTCACAACTTTTATGTATTATGAAGAAACCAATAAAAAAAACCGACCAGCCATCCAAAAAAAATTCTTGGAAACAACTTAAATCGAAGTGAAAATCACCAAAACTGACATTTAAGATGCTTGCTTTTAACTAGTCACTAAAAATAGACGCCCATTATAAAACACTTGAGAATTCTGGCTTTATATAGATCCTAAAGCCCCTTACGACGCTGTTAGCCCACCACTGAAAATCAATTGTTTTAACATGCGAAACCTAATTCAGGATAAGGCAACTAGCATTCACTTTCACACTAAAAATGTTCTGCAAAATCGTTAGCTTAAACTAACCGCCCAATTGTAGAAGTGCGCATTTAAATAAACAATTTTATATATAAACTAGCAGGGTGTCCGCAGTTTCGTTTGCGATGGATAACCCGAATATTCTAAAGCTACTTTTCTTATATAATAGTTTTGCAGTAGAACTATATAGTTTTGCATTTAAGATGTTATTTTAAATATATTTGTAGTTCTTACTGAAACTTAATAGCCTAATACCATTGCCGCATTAGTGGACTTTTTAAATGTGCTTGATTCCATTGGCGCATTAGCCTTTAGCTAATGCTACTCCGACATGTGAGTGGCACGAGCAGCTGATCTGGGTTTGTTTAATTTTGCATTTTGGCAAATCCAAAAGAAATTAATTAAAATTAGAGAACATGAGTGAGTTTACTAAACTCTGTTATGCTCAGCAGGACATCCATAATGCGACCGAGGCATTTGATAACTTGGAAGACAAGGAAGAGAAGCTGATTGCGTTGTTATGACGGGTTTGCAATGGAGACCACCACAGATTCCAAAAAGGGCTAGAGTCCCCATATATGTGGGAGTTATTTTATGCCAGAGATCCAGCAGTATTGCATTGTGGTACTGCGAGCAGAATTTGCAGCGTGCGCTTTAGTTTTCAGTCATTTTTATACAAAATAGATTTTATATTCAAAAGACATAACAAATTGCGCCAACCTTGCATATAGAAAACAGCTTTTGTAGTGGTGGCACGAACAAAATATCGTTCAACATCGGTAATTGCCGGTATTTTTTCTAAAAACGTTCGGGGCGAATGGTTTTTAATCGAATTTACAAATCGAATTTATTTTAAATGCGGCATTTAGCCTTATGGCCTGTGTAAATAAATGCGTATTAGGCTAAATGCGTTTTAATGCGCCAATGGAATCAGCCTATAACTCATTTCCACACCCCCGAAAGTAGAGGATACGGCTTTTCCAATTAGAAGCGATTGGTCCACTTGGGGAGCCCCAATAAATCTTAGCAAATCAGTTGAAGGTTATTAAAATGTAATAAAAATTCATATTATATTACAATTATTGTTAATCAGTGTAGTTGGCTGTGCGTTGATTCCTAGTTTTCGCACTGATAGCTTTATATATAGAGATAAATGAATTTCCTGCAAGGCAGAGGGATAGGGAGGGAGACGGAATCATTTGTTGACTATTAGTATGAAAATGCAGAGAGAGATAGAAAACGTATGGTGCTCATGGAGACACTTAGATTCGATAACAGATCCACTTTTTGCTTAGTTTCTTTGCTTAGAAGATAGCTAGAGCTTTGGTGAAAGCATCAAATGAATCGTTGAAGTTTAAGGAAAAACTTTACCGAATGAATTTTTGATATTGAAACGTGTGTTAAAAATAGTAAAAGCCTTAAGTCTAAGCGATCAAATTTTTTAAACATTTATAATGTCTTAAACTATTTTTTGGCAAAAACACGGATTCGATCGTTTAAAAGAAATGTAAAGAACAAACAAGTTATAATTTATTTTTAATTTTTTTCCCGAATGTTCTTGTGTTATGTTATATATATCTTATAGCTATAGGATATAGTGATCTGGCCAATTCTTGTCCTATATATTTATAACATTTTTCTAGATTTTTGGTACAAGTTTTAAAGCTTTAGCCCCTCTAGCAGTATTTCTGGCCGCGGCTCCCAAACAAACCCGACCACTGTGGAACGGTTCAAAAGTTAAAGCCTAGTATTTAGATCGACTATACTATACGAATACTGTAAGGTACTGGGCTACTTGTTAACAAATGGAATACAGTTCAAATTATGCCCGACAGCTTGAAACTATATTCAATCATTATCAACATTGTAAATGTATACGTAATATTTAAAAATGTAAAAATAAGACTTAAAATCTTTAAGTTATGTTTTCAGGACGCATTCAACAAAAGTGGCATCAAAACGGATAGCGAATATTTTGTCCTCAACTTTTTAATATTTTTTCCGTCCATTTTTTGAATCGACAAATACTATGCTCTGCCAACCATAACCTCAAAAGATTGAATTTATGATCTCTTCGCCGAGGACTAACGTTCGTCAACCCAGAGAAATCTGGCTTATCAAATTATGTAACGTTGACACAATAACCACAATGCGTTGCGCAGCATTTTGTCGTTTCTGATATTTTAAAAGATTTATTTAAGCTGTTATGTAAAAAAACTACGAGCTCCAACAATTTCAAATCTACTACATTCCATAATTCCACAGCGCAGCGCGATTATTTTTGCTAATACCCTATTCAAAAGCACACACGGTAAGACGGTAAAAAAGTGAATCTTGACGACCCAAAATGTCGTCAAACGCAGCTGCTTTTAATTAAAGCTGTTTCCTTAGCTTTTTTGTTTATTTTGTTTTTTATTTTGAGCTTATTACTTTATAACTGTCTTTCAAAATAAAAGATTTATTGTTTGTAGATTTTTGTTCAAAATGTTGCTTTACACATTATGTTTGCTTATTGTTATATAAATAACTTTATATATTGTGTTCAGGAATAAGAAAAGCGGTTTTTTATTCTTTCCAGTTGCGAGGCCTATTTGGTACTGAATTGAACTTCACAACGAGACGCTATAGTTGCGGCGTTGCTAACTCAAGAAAAGTGAATACATAAAATATAAGGGAAAAGTTCTTCTTAAAATATTAGGATAGTGATGGCATTATACGACAAAATTATAAGTTGATTTAATTATATGCAAGCGTTCAGGATCGTCCCTACCCGCCCTGAAAAACAGTTTCCGAATGAGGCAAGACTGCAATCTGATCATCTCTCCTGTGGGTGTCTTCAGCTTTACTGCTCGAACAAGATTGTCCTTCCCTGGGTAGGTTTCAATAACCCGTGCGATATGCCATGCTGCTGGTGGTGTATTAGACTCCTTAACAACATCATCAATCGATATTTTGGGTGTTGAAGTGGCCCACCTTGGGCGCTGTTGTAGAGTATTCAGGTACTCCTGATGCCAATTTTTCCAGAAGCATTGATACATAGTTTGAATGGCTTGCCAGTATCCCAATCGGCCCACTGGAATGACTTTGTGTGAGCAAGGTGCGCATCTGTTCAAAAGGGGAGCGTAGAATTCCCGATGATT